AAATTTCTTGACTTACCAAACCTGCTATTGAAAAAAAGTTTTCCCTCCATTCAACTTGGACCTACTTTTTGTGGTATTAAAACATACTTCATGCTTGGGTTGTTCTCAGCCCCTGCGTATCTGTAGTAACTTCTGTATAAACCTTAATCTTTCAACATCTTTGCTTTTTTGTTGTAGAAAGCAATCTTTTTATTGGTGTACCATGGTGATTTAAAGTTGTAATTGCTGAGGCCTTCAACTCTGCCAACAACTGTGCTCTAGAATTTCTGAATCTGAGTCACTGAGGAGAACATGTAATTAACATTGACTCAAGGAAGAACTGGGGATCTTTGAAAACTCTGTGGCTCAGTGTGTGTGTGTGTGTGTACATGCAGGTAAAGGACTATTCAGATAGTCTAGCACCCTAAGCAACTCTATTATAAACCTTCTTTTTCTATGAAGTCTAGAGCTGTTCCTTACCTCTTCCTGTTTCTGGATGGTTTTAAAGTTTACCAGGAGAGAAGAATATCTTTTTTACATCAACTACTTGTGAATTAGATACAACCTGGGATAGAAAGTAGAATAAAATAAGTGATAATGGACAATCTTTTACTTCTGTCCCAGAAATCATCAGATTGCAGGCTTCAGGAGTTCAGGGTCCAAGTGTCTTCATTGCTTTACCCACAATTCTATAAAAAGTCAATTCTCTTACATAACCCATGGCACTGAAGACAGAGAGCATGGGAATGTTTTCAGGAACCACTTTTGAGGAGATTTAAAAGATGGTCTGAACTCATTATAAAAGCTAATTCAGGAACTATGCTTCTTTAGTCTGAATTGAAGGATTGAATAAGCTCCCCGAATGGAGGTCTGGTTGAAGGCTACTTAAATCCTTCAACCAGAAAATCCTTCAACTTCAGAAAAGTACAAGCTAAAACACAGAAGAAGTATCCCGGGGACCATCTGTAATTGTTCCTCCTTGGGAGGCAAAGTTAGGAGAATTGTGGTCAAAGGCCAGTCCAGAAAAACAAAAACAAAACAAAACAAAAAAATATGAGAACTTATCTAAAAAGTACTGACATATAAAAAGCTAAAGGCATAGCTCTAATGATGGAGCGCTTATCAAGTTAAAATACTACAAAAATATTATTAATGAATGAAAGAAAAGAATGAAAGTGAGACAGAGAGAGAGAGAGAGAGAGAATAAAGCTTGGACTCAGAATCAGGTGGAAGATAGTGATCTAAAGTGTAGAACAGGGCAGAACATTATGATACTTCCTCTGTGCTAGAGATTTTCTTTTCTTCTCTGATCTTATCTATGTCCAGTGATCATGGTTGTTTTTCTTCCTGCATTTTATTCCATTTCACTAGCAGTTCTTGATTTGGTGATCTGATTATTTATGGTAATAGTCTCTATCTTATTTCCTGTAGCTATATTTATGTATACCAAATTAGCTCATCAACATTACTGTCTAGGTTGAATCAAACATAAAAAGTAAAATTCCTAACAGTATAGGTAGTTTTTTACGATTTATGGTAAACATTTAATATTTGTTAGTTGGACTGTACCTTAAATATACAAAGCAATAGTTTCCATCTTCTTGTTTCTCACAAAATTATTGTTTTCTAAGTATCAGGAATGTCATGTTAATGCCTAAAGATAACAGAACTATTGAAATCCATGGTTGCTATCCAGTGTAGAATTTTAGGAAGAGAGATCCTAAAGTATCGTTGCTTAAAAATTTGGGTTTGTCATTCTTGATTTGAGACTGTACCCTGCTTTCAATAACCTACACAAAGCTCAGTGAGACAGACTCAAGGTTCTTACACTGATAATCTGGGTTCTTTGTAATTCTCCCCTTCACTCCCAGTGCTACCTTATTTTCTATAATGTCATAATATTAGTAATTTCACAATTATGAATATTTAGTGGTTTGAGTCAGTCTTTCTTTTTATGCTCATTTGAATTAAAAACTCTGAGCAAAGTTTTTAACCATATATGGTAATATGATTCATAGAAAAATTCATCTTAACATTGGAAATATGGTTGTGATATGTAATTATATCAAATTAACTCTAATCTACTTTGTAGGTATAGATCAGATGGTGAAAATACTGGCTCCCTACCCTGCCATCTCCTGAGTGAGGTCTGAGGTGTCTGGGGATCTCTCTGACCTCTACCTGTACTATGAAGATGCTGGTACTTCTGAGATCTCAGTTTCCCCATCCTTATAGAAGGCATTAGCTATACATTCAAAAGCCTTAAAAAAAGATCTCTTATAGTTTATAAAGTTTAAACTTTTATTCCACAAAATAATGGGTAATTTGTTCCTTTACATGTTTATACAGCATTTTGCTAAGTCTTAAAATTTCCTGGAAGAGAAGAGACAATATTTGGTTTGGCTTTGTCATTTTCAGATATGTTCTGCTTGGTGCTGGTGGCTCATTCTTGTAATCCTAGCTACTTAGGAGGTTGAGGTTCAAGGATCGTGGTTTGAAGCTGGCCTAGGCCAGAAAGTCTGTGAGACTCTTATCTCCAATGAACCACCAGAAAATTGAAAGTAGAGCTGTGTTTACAAAGTGATAGAGGACGAGCCTTGAGTGATAAGACTCAGGAACAACACCCAGGCCCTGAGTTCAAGCTCCACAACCAACCAAAACAAAAAGTATGTTGTATTAGACTTGTTTTATTCCTCCACACTAAAGAAACCATAAGCCAGAGACTGGTTCTGCATGATCTATGTCCTAGCCTAGTGAATGCTGGTGTTATTGTGACCACATACTCAGTTACTGAGGCCACCAAATACCAGAATACTTGAAAGATTCTCTAGAACAGATGCAGAAGTCATGTTGCTTTTCAGAATGGGAAACTCTATTCAGAAGATTTAGAAAGAGAAATGTTTAAGATTAAATTTAGATTGAGATTCAGAAGGGAACAACAATTTGGCTATCCTGTTTTATGTACATTGGTGTATTGTATTCTGTTATTTCACATGAATGTCCACAGGTTACTATCACATGAAGCATTTCTGGTCATAAAGACACTGGCAGTCTTTATAATTGCTCATTTATCAAAGTAAAGATGATGGTAGACTGTCATGGTAACATGATTCCACAGGGCTGGATAAGGTGTATCTTAAGTTTCACTTTTGGAGAAATTACTTCATTTTAGGTTCATTTCCCCAGATATGGATAAAAGTTCATAAAACTGCATATTTATGATTAGACTACATCTCTTTTAAAAAAGGCCATTTCCATGGTCAAATTGATCAGGTTTTTAGAAATAAGATTCTACTTGAATTTTGTGATTGAACTTCATTTGGAGTTTCCTTAAGTAGAAGATATAATGCATACTTATTAGGGAAGTTACCTTGGCAGATTTTCATCTTCTTTTGCTAAAATCAAAACTGTACCCACCATATAAAGCATATGAAGCACATGATATATGAAGTAGTAAATAGTTCTTTTGTACCAGTTATTCTAAGGGACTCAAAAATGGTCCAATAACCAGCATGCACATAATGTTCATAGAGCTTATGATTTATTGACATGCCAGGAAAAACAATTGGACAGGAAAGTATAGGAGGGTGGGGGTGACCAATGTCAGTATAGATGCTAAGAAGCTAAGGGCTTAGAAAGCAAACTTCAGAGACATGCACATTTCTTTTAGTCTGTCTTTTTCTTCCCTATTTCTCTGTTCTTTCTTTCCTATTGTGGTTGTTAGTGGTGGTGAGGAACAGACTAAATACAAAAAAATGTTGAGTGTCAACTTTCAAACACAATCATTGAGAATTTGAGAACTGGGCAGCGGATTGTGCTAGGCTCTTTTCTTTTTGTCTTTTTGTAAGATGCAGGTCTGCCATCAGCCAGTTGAAGGCAGGGGTGAATGCATATGTGTGAGATTGTGTTTACACACATCTCTGCATGGATAAATACTCAGAAACCACAATAGCACTCCCAAAGGAATCCTTCCTTAATACAGGAAGTGACAGCATTGTAAAAACAGCACAATTAAGCTCCTCTTTTTCCCTCCCTTATGCTAGAAATCCTAGGGTTTCATTTCTAGAAGAAATGAGACCTCTGTGATGCTTTATGGGCTGCTTAGAATTACAAGCCACTTTACAGCTTGTTGAAATCAAAGCACCCAGGCCTTTCTTGGCATTTAGTGGTATCTGAAAACACTAAATTATGATTGACGCATCTCAACTAACAGGCCACAGAAATGACAGTTTTATTAATTTTATTAATTCTGGTGGCCACATTCCTCTGCCATGATTTCCCTTGCCATCTTCCCACCTCACCTTCTCTTGTTCTACACTTAAATTGATCAGATGAGTTAGGCCTCTGCTGTAACTGACTTCCTTCTGCATGTTGGGGTTTAGGACTGGGATTTAGACAGAAGAGGCAGGTGCAGTCTCCACAAACATTAAAATCTCCATTGCCTCAGCTGTACTGGGAGAAATGTATAAAATGAACAGGACACCAGCAAAGGTAGAAGCTTACGTCATTGAATCGAGAAGCTGGGCATCTTGAATTGGTCATCATCCTTCTAAAGATCATATAGGTCCTGACATGTCAGACGTTCCATGGTCTTTTCTCAGTCACTTGTGTGTGTTTTACTGTGGAAATGGTTGCTATTGTCTTCTCTAGACCCCTGACACTGTTTCCCTCAGTGACCGCCTTTTTCGTATCTCCTTCTCTTTCTCTTTCTTAATTCCCAACATCATTATGTTACTGTGAGGTCAGCATCCAACTTTCTGGTGCCAGCTGCTGGCCTAAACCCCAGACTTACATTTCCATATGGAATTCTCAGAAACCCTTTGAACTTACATCTTTGAAATAGTTCCTTCTTTTCTTCTCACTTCCTAAATTTATCAGAATAATTCAACCCAATGAGAGGCAAGCCACCTGTGTCAGACACAGTATAATGGCTATGGGAAGCATTACATTCCTTTTTCACACTTTTCCTTTATCTTGATCTGATGAAAGTGGCTAATCTTATGAATAACTCTTTCCATTAGAAGACCAGGAGAAGGCCTGAGGATCTCCTGGGGAAGCCCGGATGAGCAGTCCCTGTTGTCCCGTTGGAACCCATGGTCCACTGAGGTCCCTTACGCCACCTTCACTGAGCATCCTATGAAGTACACCAGTGAGAAGTTCCTTGAAATTTGCAAGGTAGGTGGGCAGTTGAGCATCACCTTTGGATTAGCTGTGTTTGTGAAACTATTTGCTTCTAGAAGATACATTGGTTAAAAAAAAACTGAGGTAAGATACACCAGGAAACCTTTATAGATATGAAATAGGTTTATAGAACTTTGTAAGTAAAGAGTAGAGGCATTTTTAGCTATCTATCTGTCTATCTATCTGTCAGGCATATTAACCATAACATGATACTCCACCTTGCTAATTTCTTTTAATGTAATATTGTGTTGTTAAAAATTGTAATAGTTGCCAGGCGCGGGTGGCTCACGCCTGTAATCCTAGCTACTGAAGAGGCTGAGATCTGAGGATCATGGTTCGAAGCCAGCCCGGGCAAGGAAAGTCTGTGAGACTCATCTCCAATAAACCACTAGAAAACTAGAAGTGGCACTGTGGCTCAAGTAATAGAGCACTCACTTTGAGCTGAAGAGCTGAGGGATAGCACCCAAGCCCAGAGTTCAAGCCCCATTACTGACCAAAAAAAAATTGTAATAGTTATATGTATCTCCTTGCAGTTGTTGCCAACAGGTGAATACAATTTTTCTCTATCTAATTGAATCGTGATTGTGTTATTCTGAGAAGTATGGAATAGTCTCAAATATGCTTAGTCAGGAATGGTTCTGTGGCCATGTTTGCTTATGTTTCTTCTTATTCTGAGTTTTGATTATGTTTCTTCTTATTCCGAGTTTTGATAATTTCTCTAAAATAGATGTAGCAAATGCAACTTTTGCCCCCAATATTATTAGTCCATTGTGAAGTCAAATGAAAAATATATATATATGTGTATTAATGCTTCATAGACTATAAAGCAATTGTGATTGATTGTATATCTTCAAATCTTGTCTCCCTAAGTGGTGGGGAAAGTTCTTTGTACCATTCTTTCCTCTCCTCCATGTCTTGTAAGTGCTGGGACATCATAAGGAGTCAGAAAGTAAAACCCTCTGGAACTAAAGATTCAGAGAAAGACATAATTTCCTTTTCAGGAAAAAAAACCTAAATGTGTGCTTACAGGCCTAGAAATTCTTATCTTTTCTATCCTTTGTATATTTCCCTTGAAATTCTATTATTCACTTCAGAATGTTATCACATTTGCTATACATTCAAAACTTGACCAAATGCATCTAAATTCATTTGGTGGCTGGATAGAACATGTTACATTTCTCTTATTATTTAAGATATGTCTATTTATGCAAACTTGTACATCTGTGCATAAATAATTTAAAGTTAGGAAGCTCCTATTTCAATAAGAAGGTAACCATGTGAATAATTAGAGGTAAAGTGTCATTTAACTCCATTTTAATATACAGGCCAAGTTGGACTGAATCCATTCTACTCCAGAGAAATGGTCCTCTTAAGACATTCAGATGTCTCCAGGGGCTTGTGGCATCATGGTTTACCTCTGGCTCCAAGCTATTGTAGGCATTAACTTAGTCCAGTGTATGGACAATGTTGCTAAACTTCAAGTTTCACAATTCCTCAGCCAAAGCATCAACATCAGCTTGTAGCCTGACTCTACCACCCAAAGCTAACTAAACAAGACAAGATAAAAACCAAGAACACAACATTTGCACAAAGACAACTGTGTAAGAAAAAACTTGCTCAGATTGTCAGAGAGAGAAGTGTACATCACACTAATGCCCCTAATTTTAAATGCAATGTCATACCTCCCCATTGTTTTAAAATTCCTTATTAATAATAAATCTCTGAGACATTGTTGTATTATCCAGTGTCTCTTCTACTGCTTTCCTCTTCTAAACTTATTTTTTATTATTATGATTATTAACACTCAGTTTAAATTTCTTTTTGAATATTCATTACTCCAAGTAAAAGGCTTAATAATGTTTCTTTAAAAGAAATCTAGCGCTAGCCATTAAAATAATAAATTAAAAAATAACATATTTTTGAACAGTTGAACTTTCTTATAGATCAAAATGCATACTAAATGCTTTGGGTATTACATTTATTACCTCCTTAGCCAAATCTTCTTTTAGTCCTCATATCTAGTACATTAGTTACTTTTTTCTGAATGTCCTTTCCTGGAAGTTCGGGGTAAAATAATATAGAATGGATGCTATAAATTGCAGAGAAGAAATCTCACTGTCTCATTGTAATATACAATGGTGCTTTGTTGAATTCTCCACATTCAAATACAATCCATTTCAAAAGAAAATGAGAGGTTAAACGGGTATAAGGATAGTACTTCCCAGGTATCCACAAATGTAGTTGGTAGATTATAGTGTTATACTTATTCCTAGATTTCACATTAGCAAAGTTGAAAAGAAAACCAGTGTAGTTCTTTTGAAATGTAAATAAGAGTAGAATGGCAAATATGTGTGTATATGTTTGTGTGTGTATGTGAGTATATGCATACATAGAGGCACGTGAATATTACATACATAAATACAACAGATTGTTGGGTTGGTTTTAGTCAATTATAGTACTATATAGATCTCTTAAGTATTTTTCCTGTAAGGATTTTTTTCTTAATCTAAGGGTATTTGTTTTCCCATTCTGGCAACACTCTGACATTTTTATATGCCAAGTTAATTCTTATTCAAAGGCTACCCCAAGTCCTAACTCAGTAGATAAACAAAGGATCTCCATGTGGAATGTGAGGTGATGAATACTTTGATCCTGTTTTTTTTTTGTCACAATGTTATTTGTGTTCAGGACCTTCACCAAGATTTGGCTTTGATTAAGACTTAGTTATATTAATATAAAATAATATGAAATATAATATTATATTAATATAAATAATTAATATAAAATAATATGAAAAATGATGTTAGGATATCTAGAAACCCTTTAATATGAATTTTTTACATAATTTAAAAAGTACTGTAAGTTTTTTTCCATTTCTATTATGAATGGAATAGAATAAAAGAACATACTATGGGATATATATATATATATATATTTAAACTATGTCAAATTCTGGCAATAATTATAATTTAACAAATTTGTTGTGGCACAGCATAGGGAATAATGTGTGGTGAGTTAGACACAGCATTTTCAAATGATTTACAATATAATTAAATAACTTAATATTAGAAATATGCAGATTTATTCTTGCCCAGTCTTCTTCATAGCACCTAGAATCTCTTATTTAACAAAAGTTTTCTGACACCTGTACAAAATGCAGGTATACTGATTGTTGCTACCGTTATGAACATTGAGACAAAATTCTTGTCCTTGTGCAAGACAATGCTTAGTGTAGAAGGTAGATAAGAAGGTTTAGGTTTAAAAATGCACACTAATTGATTAGAACAGAAGTTTGGATCCAGTGAAAAGTAAGAGAGGTACATGAAAATATGTGTATTGTTACAGTGACAGGGAAAGAAGATGAGGACATGTTAAATTATTCAGCATAAAAATTAATGAAAATACATAATTGACAGGATACGGGAGAGGATGATATGTAGCTTCTGGTTGGGTAGGTAAGGGCTCCCTTAATTTGAATGAAGATAAATGGAGTAAGAATAGGCTTGGAGGTTTAACTTAGTTTAGTTTAAGTCATGTATGTTAGGTTTGAAACATCATTGAATTTCAGATTGAGTTGATTTTCAGGCAGAGAGAACCTGTGTCTTAAACTCAGTAGATAACGTTGAGGTGGTGATATGGGGTTCCAAGCATATGACATTGGGTCAAAGCTGAGTTATAGAACAGGTTTGTCAGGAGGACATATTAACAGACCCAATTACATTATGTTAAAATTAAGTTTCTTAATGTTGATTTACCAGTATCACTTCTCCTTTTATCAATCATTAACATGAATAACTACAAACGAGTTCAACCTGATCAAATATAGTGGTCAAAAGGCTCTGTTCATACAATCTTACTTATCACCTCACTCAACCAAAAGTTTTCAACCTGAGTTACACCTGCCTTGCTTTACTCATATTAAACCATCATGAAAGTGGAAAACGTTAGGTATTTTTAACATTATTTGTATCAATAATGTACATAATACTTGATAATATATAAAAATAGTCTTATATAGTATTATGTAATTATACCTTATTTATATAAATATTATTTACATAATATACCTTATTTATGTAAACCAATTAGTAAAAAACATATCAAATTTAGGTGAATATCTCTATTTTATAAATATACTTAATGAAACAGAATAAATAAACTGACTACAATAATAATTCTACATCGGGTATAAATTCATTTCTATTTTGTGTGTTTGTGTAAGCCTGTGTGTATATGTATATATGAAAGAGAAAGTGATAGAGACTTATGTGTATTTGTATTCTTTGATATGATGATATGATACTATATGTTACAATATATATCTGGTTTCATTACTTCAGTCATTCATTCACTTTGAATTTGAAACTTTTAGCTTTACTTTTCCCTCTCCCACCATCTTTCTCCCTTCCCCTCTCTGTCTCTGTCTCTTTCTGTTTCTCTGTGTCTCTTTCTCTATGTCTCTATGTATCTTTCTCTCTCTCTCAAGGTTGAACTCAGAGCCTGTTTGTTATGCAGATGCTCTGCTTCTATCTCCTCCCACCCCCAGACATTTCTGTCTTTGTGAAATAGGATACATAGGATCTGGTCGGTCTATATACCCAGAGTGGCCTGTACCATGATCTGCCTATTTGCCATTGTAGCTAGTATGCCAGATGTGTACTACCATGTCCAGCTAATAATTTCAGCCTTCTAAGTAGCTAGTGTGACAGATGTGTACCACCAGCCCCTGGTATCCATTCAGTTATTCACAAATTTGGGCTGTATGTTCTTTGCAGCAGTGTAGTACATCTATTCCTGAAAACCCAGCAAAGTAAAGATTAAAAGAAAAGATACCAGCCAACCAAAGTCATCCATAGAACAACCACATATACTTTTTCCTAACGTTATTTCCTATCCTGAAAGTGTATAGATGTTTTGGCAATTAACTATGGTTTTATATTCTTAGCCCTTTTTATCTCTTCACATTAATTTAACAAATACTCTCTGGATATCTC